TTTTTTCCATTGATTTTTAGGGAGAGTGAGAGGGAGGGAGGGAGGGGGGAGAGAGAGAGAAACATCGGTGTGAGAGAGACATCGACTGATTGCCTCCCACACACGCCCTGAACGGGGCCTGGGCGAGGGATCGAACCTGCAACCCAGGTATGTGCACTTGACCGGGAATCGAACCCATGACCCTTGGGTATCTGGTCCGATGCTCCAACCACTGCGCCACACCGGCCAGGGCACATCGCTGAATCGCAGAAGTGGTTTCTGAGGGCCTGGGTTCTGGAATGAGCCGAGGAGAGGCTCACACAGACTCCCCTTCGCTTCCAAGCACGTGCAGCTGGCCCACGAGTTCGAGTCGTTGGTGAGGCAGGATCCGCGCTTTGAAGTCTGTGCGGAAGTCACTCTGGGGCTGGTCTGCTTCCGGCTGAAGGTAAGCCCATGCCCGTTTCGTCTCCATGCCCTTTTAACGTGACAGAGGGCAGAGTACCATTCAAGGCCTCTGAGCTCAAACACTTGCCTTAACTCCCCAACCACACAATCCAGGCCCGGTCTGCAGGCTGCCATTCGCGCGGCCCAGCCCTGATGCCACCTAACTGCCCACCGTGCCCTACGCAGGCTTCTCTAGGCAGTGTCCACTCTTCTTCGGTCACTCTGACAAGGAGAATCAAGACCCTTGGTTCCAGAACGCCCACCGTTCCCTCTGTCCGTCTGTCTCGGCCACTGGCACTTCCTGAGGCCTCACCTGTCCACTTGCTCCCTCGGGTGTCATTCCTGGGCCAGCCTCAGCGTCAGCTGGCAGTTGGTGATGAACGCCCGTCTTGGGCCACCCAGACCTGCCAACTCTGCACCTTCACAAGTCCCCAGGCTGGCCTGTTGGTGGGCAGGGCAGTGTGTGACCGCTGCTCTCTGGCACTCAGTCATCCTGCTTTCCGGGGATGACCGTGCTCGATGGCTGAGGCCGGAGCCCTCTTTGCTGGGAGCGGTGACCCCTTCATGGTGCCGTGAGAACCCCAGTTCTGCTGTTGAGCTCATGGGTTAAGAGATCTCACATCCAGGAATCTTCACTTTTTTAAAAAAGCCAAGAAAAGGACATCTCTTGACAGCACACTAAACAAGAACAGACTGTCACATAGGGAGGGACAGGCTGCGGCCCTTCAAGGGCCACGGAGCCGTCATTTGTTTGAATTTTCCACTGTCAACGAAAGGCAAATGGTCCCGTGGCTTCTCCGCTGAGATGTGGCCCCCGTCTCTCGATCCCTCCAGGGCTCCAACAAGCTGAACGAAGACCTTCTGGACAGAATAAGCAGTGCCAAAAAAATCCACCTGGTGCCCTGCCACCTGAGAGGCAGGTTCGTGCTGCGCTTCGCCATCTGCGCCCGCACGGTGGAGCCTGCGCACGTGCAGCAGGCCTGGGCGCACATCCAGACGCTGGCGAGCGCGCTGCTGGAGGCCGCGCAGGAGTAAAGGGGAGCGAGCGCCTCCGGTGAGCCGCGGGGACCCGCTTCCTCCACTTAGAAGGGGTGCCGGCCTCAGGATCCTGTCCGGCCCGGAGAGGTGGGAGGGACCGTACGCTATGGTGGTTCTTTAGAGACTTCGACAGACTTCTACTTTGCATTGTTATGTGAAAATATCAATAGCGTACAATGGTGTATTTCTGTAATGTTCCGTCAGATTTCTACGTCCACTGAGGCAACTCAGTATCATAACATAGGGTGTCCCCCCAAAATGTATACACGCTTTAACAGCTAGACTATACTATATACATAGTATCATATGTACTATATATAGTATCACATATAAGGTGTCTCAAAAATGTGTATCTGCTTTAACAGCTATATATACTATATATAGTATCATATGTACTATATATAGTATCACATATAAGGCGTCTCAAAAATGTGTATCTGCTTTAACAGCTAGACTATACTATACATAGTATCATATGTACTATATATAGTATCACATATAAGGTGTCTCAAAAATGTATACCTGCTTTAACAGCTAGACTATACTATACAGTATCATATATACTCACACTGCCCTATATTATATATAGTACCATATATACTCTACATAGTATCATATACAGGATGTCCCCAAAAATGTATACACTTTTAACAGCAGACAGCTCAATTTTGAAAAAGAAATGTATTTTTTTTTATTATTATTTTTTAAATATATCTTTATTGATTTCAGAGAGAGGAAAGGAAGGGGGGAGAGAGAGATAGAAACATCAATGATGAGAGAGTCATTGATTGGCTACAGCCCGCAACCAGGGCATGTGCCCTGACCGGGAATTGAACCCTGATCACCTGGATCCTAGGTCGATGCTCAACCATGGAGCCACGCCTGGCCGGGCAAGAAATGTATTTTAATGAACACTGCCTTTATAATTATTTGAAGTGTGTATATAAAAATAGGGTGGTTTTTTTTTTGACGTTGCATACATTAGTAAACGACAGTGCACCTTTGCTGTGTTGGGCAGATTCACTAGAGTGATGGAAACCTTCACTCCTGGGATGTACCTGAGGTCATCATGTCCAGCCCACGGGCCACAGCTCTGACAGAAAGGAGGAGCTGTCCCTGTTTCACAGGGGGTAGGAAACGGGGCACAGATTCCAGCTGACCTCGATAAAATGTGTCATAGAGAAGCCGGGTCGGCAATCAAATCTCCTCCCTTCCGATTCAGGCTCCCTTCCCGTTGCCCCCAGCTCCCTGGAGATACCACATACCCTTCTCTGTGTGCAAGTGGGACGTGTACAAAATCCCGATTTTTTAATATATTTTTAAATGTAGCCACATGTTCATGCTATTTTTCTTTCCTCTGTAGAGCTCCAAGTTGAGCAGAAGTATATCTGAAAACCGGGGTGAGAGGAAGGGAAGCACCATCCCGGCTCCGCGGCAGGGAGCCCGTGCTGGGCGCAAGCTCCTTGCTCCAGTTACCAGGAGCAAGTGCTGGCGTCTCTTCAGTCTCTCATCAGTGAAGAAATATTATTTGCTATGGGAAATGTTAATCCCAAGGCATACAGCTTTTACTCATTATTTGGCTGTGATTTTTGTTAATTAAAAAATCATAGTGTTCCGTGCTCTTGAAGTTGCCCGTGGTGGGAGGGGCCTGTGGAACCATCTCCCGGGCAGCCTGTGGCTTTGTGACCGGTGGTCTCCAGCTTGTTCCGTCCCGCGGCTCAGTGCTTAATAAACAGTCAAATGCAACGGCTACCGTGTCTGGCGAGCATCCTGTTCTACCCTCAACCCGGAAGATCTTTAAAATATGGACCTATCTTTTCCAAGCTGCCAAAGGCAGGGCATCCTTGGATGTTTTTACACAGCGTTCACTTATTCCACAATGTTTATTGAGTGTGTAGTACACGCCGGGCACTGTTTTAGGGGCTTTAACGACATACAAGTTTTACTTGGAGGTGACTCCAACTTCTAAAGAAATAAAAAGCAAGACGGAGCATGAAGAGCAGGGGGGGCTGGTCTCAGCCGTTTACATGTCTTCTGCTCCCCTCCGCCCCCAACCCCACCTGCAGAGTCACTTTCTCAGGGAGGGACACCCATGGGCCCCACTGAGCCCAGACGGGAGAGGAAGCCTGCTGGGCGCAAGATCCCCTCCCAGTGTCCCTCCCTCCTGCTGCGAGTATGTGGCTGGCTCCTGGGTCTGCGGGGTCCCCCTGGGGCAAGGAGCCCAGGCCTGGGAGGAAAGCCCCCCGGGGAGAAGACAGCAGAAGGGGACCCAGAAAGGCGGCCCCTGGTGACATCTGTAGGTCGCGCCATCAGGCCCAAAGGGCGAACCTGCAGGCTGCTTGTGTGGCACAGTGGCATCAGCTACCCAGCAGGTGGCCGTGTGGCTCTTCTGTGGCTCGTGGTGAAAATGCGATTCACGAAACTAACCTAACGTGGTTCTGTTCCCTAAAGCCAAAGTCCAGGGTCATGAAGAGCTCTGCGGTCCCCAGGGCAGGGTCCCCAAGGAGCCCCGGTGGGGTGGGGGTGGCGGAGATGTGCTGGCTGCGGGGCTGCGGGGCTCCGGGAGGGACCCTGAGTCCCCTGTTCTCCCTAAAAACGCACGAGGGCCTCACGCGCACGGCTACGCAGTCCCAGCCGCTGGGTACCTGGGACCTGCCCGCCGGCGCCCGGTGCGGGGGAGGGGCCGGCCCGGAGCCGCGGGGACCGCCTCCCAGGACGCGGCGCAGGTGAG